TCCTTCCTGCAAGTTGAGTTTGTGTCCACAGAACCTCGCAGTCTGTGTCAAGGTCTGGCCTATGGGTAACAATTAGATCATCTCTGTTGGCCTGAAATACACCACCTCCTTGGCCTAGTTTGTCTGTCTTTCCGGTGTGCTATGTAGTTGCTGGGGAATATTTCACTACTTGCTATGTTTTGGTTGAGCCATGACTCTGTACCTGCTACTATATCTGGCTTGTAAGTGTCAACTACTGTCGCCAGTTCAGCTGTTTTGTTCCGCACACTCTGACAGTTTACTAGGAGAAGTTTACTTTTGGATCTCTTGTGACTATGACCCCTCGTTTGAGAATTACCCTGCTTTGATTTAAGTGGAGTGGATGTAGCCATTGGGATTTCGTCTGGTGAACTTGAGTCAGAACTCAGCGTGTCAAATGAGTTTACTGAATGGAATGTTTCATCAGTGATATCGAATATGGCCGATGCAAAGTTGGGTATACCACAGTCACAACATACCCACGAGTATGATCGGTGGGTTTCTAGTGCACTGTATACTTGAGAACATAGCCCAATGCAGTCACTGTGGTACCATCTATCGCATTCATCACAGCATATTGCATTATGGGTGTTACGTACTGCCTTGTTACAACTCCCACATGGAAACTTTGGTGGTCTAGGCCCTGGGTTGATCTCAATATCCCCGCTTAAGATCAGAATCATGATCAGTGAAAACTTTGTGCCACTATTGTGGCACAAAATTGCACTGTATTCCGTAAAATTGCACTGAATACTAATACGAGTGCACTGTAATACCCTGAGGATCAGGGGGGTTAAAATCATATTTATTTCAATATACAAATATATACAAGATGACTCGTTGAAGTACACCTAGGCCAGCCCTTTATCTCATTATAATTAAGAGGAGGGCGCAAGGTAAGTAAAATGTAACAAGTAACTGTGTGCATCGGACATTTAACTTTTCGATTAAAATTGTTTTCTACACATACATTTCATTTATACGTATACTTACAAAAAATGTTTTATAGATCTTAAAGATTAAAAGAAAAGAATCAAGCCTGTTGCATCAAATTTATCTTTTTACAAGAGAATAGCCCTGAGGTACTTTCCCAACCCTGTGTGTTTCTAGCGCAGTATATGGCATAAGATGCACAAAGTGCGCACTTCCCCAGTCAACTTTTAAGATGTCTGACTTCACGGTCCTTATGACTGACTAGGCAGAGTGACTATCTCTTATAACATTAACACCACATAACGTTACATTTAATCGTCGCCATGGAAATAACGCTATATTTTTTTATTGCCTGCCTTGATCCTGTCAACGGTGCAAAATATTCTGTTATTGACAGGGTCATACTGTGTACAGCCATTTTCATCTTCGTCGAAACTGCCGTAAAAAAAATACCCCCTGTC